GAACCCTTCTATGCCCACACCATGAACCTTGCAGGCAGTAACAAGCAACAACACCAAGCTACCATATGGAAAAAGGCAACAATGTGAGGAGAGGCTCTGTAGTGCAGGGCCTGCTGAGGCTGGGACAGGAACACTGAAAAACGCTTCAGCATTCCAGGCCTCACATTAAGCACAGTAAGAATCTGAAGTCCACCTCCTATTCATCCCTTCAGTGAGGGATCTGCCCCTCAAAACAGCACAAGATGGCAGATATACAACACATGACACCCAAGACAAAGCAGATGAGGTTGGCAGCAGTTTATCAGTGACTTATATTCACAGCTCAAGGGAAGAGGACACCACGTAAGGCCACACGGGGTTGCACTGGGAACAGTGAGCCAGTAGGCTTGTGGAAGTGAGGCTTTGTGTAACAAGAGGGTAGGTGTGCCCTGGTTCCTAAGGACGGTTCTAATGGGAGGATGTGCTGGGCTTGTTTGAATAACTCTGGCAGGGCAGTGAATCCCATTAGGTTGCAAAATGGGTGGGATGTTAAGGGAATTAGTCAGGTGGAGAGCCTTTCCTGCAGGGTGAGGGGCATATCTGGCAAAAACAGGAGAACCCGCCCAGCAGATGTGGTTCAATGGATTGAACGTGGTCTCATTGACACAGAGGTCCCAGTTCGATTCCCAGTCAGGGCACATGCCCCGGTTATGGGCTCAGTCCCCATCAGGGCACATGCAGGAGGCAGCTGATCGATATATCTCTCTCACATACATGTTTCTATCTCTCTCTTCAAAAAAAAAAAAAAAAATTAAAAATCCATAAAAACATATTTAAAACAAAAAATGCGGGGGAACTCATTGTTGAGCTTTGGGGACCCTGTGAGGCACAAAGATGTCAAGACAATATATGAAATTTTACGCCTTCAATATAATGACACAGCGAAGGTAACTAGAACAGCAAAATCCAAACCTGGCCCACTAATGACCAGACAGACTCAATCCCCCACAATAATGACCTAGAATGAGAAGAGGCATGTTCATTTCAGAATACAAATACTGCTTAACTCAGACTATGTTGTTGTTTACAAAGGACTTTCCATATCCAATCAAAGATATAAGACATTAAAAACAGCATGAAAATAAATGTCCCATTTTCAAGAAATCAGACAACAGACACAGACCCCAATATGACCCAAATATTAGAAATATCAAATATTAAACTATGATTACTATATTAAAAGATCTAGTTGAAAAGGGGAACAACACAAATAGACAAAAAATTTAAACACCAATAGAAAGCATAAAAAATAAAATATAGCCCAGCTGGTGAGGCTCAGTGGACTGAGCATAGTCCCATGCACCAAGAAGTTTCAGTTCAATTCCCAGTCAGGGCACATGCCCAAGTCGTGGGCCCGATCCCCAGTGGGGGGCATGCAGGAGGCAGCTAATCGATGTTCTTTCTCATCGATGATATCTCTATCTTCTCCCTCTCCCTTCTTCTCTAAAATCAATAAAAGAAAAATGATTTAAAAAAAATACATAGCCCAGCCAGTGTGGTTCACTGAGTGTCGACCCATGCCATCAAGAGGTCGCCGGTTTGATTCAGGGCACATGCCCAGGTTGTAGGCCCGATCCCCAGTGGGGGGCATGCAGGAGGCAACCAATCGATGTTCTTTCTCATAGATGTTTCTATCTCTCACTCCCTCTCCCTTCCTCTCTCTCTCAAATCAATAAAGAAAATATTAAAAATATATATATAAATATTAGGTAAAAACATAGTATCATGTTTGAAGAATTCCTTTACCAAGTTAATCAGTATACTGGATATAGCAGAGAAAACAATCAGTGTTCTGGAAGATAAATCAATACAAATTATGCAAACTAATACACAAATAGAAAATCTCAGCTCTAGGAAACTATGTGAACTACAAGTAGAATAATTACAAAGAAAAACACATCCAGACACAATGAAGTAGTAAAACGGCTAAAAACCAAGAGCAAAGAGAAATCTTGAACACAAAGAAAAAGGAATATTTACATTCATAGGAACTTGCTTATCAGAAGCTGCATACGCCAAATAAACACTCTTAGAATATTGAAAAAGAAAAAAAAATGTATTCTAGAAAGAATGAAGTATCTTTTTTTTTTTAAATCTCACCTGAGGATGTTTTCCCATTGATTTTTTTTTTAATCCTCACCTGAGGACATTTTGCATTTATCTTCAGATAGAGTGGGAGGGAGAGACAGAGGAAGAGAGAGAAACATTGATGTGAGAGAGACACATCAACTGGTTGTCACCCACACAACCCCAGCTGGGGCCGGGGACAAACTGCAATTGAGGTACGTGACCTTAGCAGAACTGAACCCGGGCCTCTCCGGTCCACGGGCTGACGCTCTAACCGCTGAGCCAAACAGGCCAGGGCTTTCCACTGATTTTTAGATAGAGAGAATAGGGAGGAAAAGAGGGGGAGAGAGAGAGAAACATCAATGTGAGAGAGACACATAGATCAACTGGTTGCTTCCTGTATGACCTGACCAGAGCCAGGGATCAAACCTGTTACTGAAGTATGTGCCCTTGACTGGGAATTGAACCCGAGATTCTTCAGTCCGAGGGCTGACACTCTAACTGCTGAGCCAAACCTACCAGGGCATGAAATATCTTTTTAAAGGAAACAGTGAAAAGTTTTTCAGGCAAAGCTGAAATCATTGTTAGCTAAAACATATTCTACCAATAAATGACTGCATTAGAAGAAATGTTTCAAATAAATGATCCAAGCCTCAATCTTTAAAAGACACTAGGAAAAGACAAAGTATTTTAGCCCAAAGCAAGCTGAAGGAAGGAAATAATAAACATAGAAGCAGAAATTAATGAAACAGAATGTCAATCAAATCAAAAGCTGGTTCTTTGCAAAGATCAATAAAATTGAGAAACCCCTAGGCCAGATTGATGAGTTACATTATATTAAATTATATTAATAATTACTAGAGTGATAACTACTATAGTAACAACATCGCACTGGTGTGTTTTTCTGACCATCTGAAGCTAACTACTACCAATGCATTTAAATTCTCACCTGCACATCCTATAAATCGAAATCATGACTTATAACAATCTGGCTATGAGTGAAGTTTTGCCAGAAGAACAAATGTCAGTGACACTAATAGCTTTACTTATCATGTTTAGAATTTAATGTAGCCATATGATAAGTAATTATTTTGCTTCAGAAACAATTCAAACAAAAATTCAACAACATAAAAGGCAGGATATTAGCTCACATCAAATACTTCACAGTCTATAAAGATTCCATTTTCATAATTTTGTTAAAAGTATGCTGCTAGAGAAATCTATTTATAGACTTCTCAAATGGAAATTTCTCCATTTCAAAGAAATTGTAAGCTTAATTAAAGAGAGCAATTCCACAAATACCAAGACAAAAGGAAGTACATAATAGCAGAAAAGATTATCTAGTTTTATTATTATTTATTTTTTTATCCTCACCTGAGGACATTTTTCCATATTTTGTTCAGACAGAGTGTGAAAGAGAAAGAGAGAGAGAGAGAGAGACAGACAGACAGACATCAATGTGAAAGGGACACATTGAGTGGCTGCCTCCTGCACGACCCAACCAGGGCCTGGGACAAACCACAACCGAGGTATGTGCCCTTAGTGGGAACCGAACCCAGGTCTCTCTGGACTGCAGGTCCAGGTCTCTCTGGACACTCTAACCGCTGAGCCAAATCGGACAGGGCAAGATTATCTAGTATTTATTTATTTATTTTTTAATCCTCACCCAAGGACATTTTTTCATTTTTTGTTCAGATAGAATGGGAAGGAGAGAGAGAGACAGAAACATCGACGTGAAAGGGACACATTGAGTGGTTGCCACCCACACGACCCAACCAGGGCTGGGGACAAACTGCAACCGAGGTACATGCCCTTAGCGGGAACCGAACCGGAGTCTCTCTGGACCCCAGGCGGACGCTCTAACCGCTGAGCAAAACTGCCAGGGCAGATTATCTAGTTTTTAAAAGGCAAGTAAAATACTGCATATCATTAAGAGGAGTCAAAGATTGAAAGCCTTTAAAGCAATTCTCCTGCTCTGCTTCACAGGCTGTTTCCACATTAAAGGTCTACATCAAATCCAGGCTTGATAATCAGACAACTAGAAAAATATCAAATGTCTGAATGAGGGCAACAAGCTTAAGAAGCAGGAATCAGCTTATTTAGTACAAATGGTTAGACAATCTGTCCATATTTTATTTTTTTTAAATATGTTTTTATTGATTTTTTTAGAGAGAGGAAGGAAGAGAGAGACAGAAACATCGATATGAGAAACATCAAACTTCCGCCTTTATACATCCCCACCTGGGGATGGAGCCCGCAACCCGGGCATGTTCCCTGACCGGGACCTCTCAGTCCATGGGACGACAGTCAGTCTACTGAGCCATACTGGCTTGGGCAATCTGTCCATATTTTAAATTTAGACCTCAAAGAGGTGAAGAGGATGAATTCATACTGCCAAAGTTTATAGCAAGAACTTGGGGTCTCCTGGCCCTGGGTCTTACTCACAATTACTTTCCAGGATAAATGTCAATATCCCCCCTTTATAATACTGGCCTTCATTCTATGTTGAGCAGATAAAAATTACTAAGTCAGCCTTGCTAAATAAATACGTTAAGGTTTACTAGATTTCCTTCTTTATTTTTTTAATCCTTACTCAAGGGCATTTTTTTCCCATTGATTTTTAGAGATTTGTGGGGTGGGGGGCATTGATGTGAGAGAGAGACACATCGATTGGTTGCCTCCCATATGCACCCCAACCAGGGCCAGGGATCAAACCTGCAACTCATCAGATATAGCATATACCCTTGACTGGGAATCGGATCCATGACCCTTGGGTCCTCTGGCCAACGTTCTAACCACTTGACCACACCAACCAGAACGGTTTACCAGATTTCTAAAACAAATAAATTATCTCCGACCTCAACATTTTATATTATTCACAATTTTCTACTTACAAAGTCTTGACGTATATCATTGAAGTCTTTGCCATATTTTTCCAGTGCCTCTTCAAATAAACTAGCTTCAGAGGCTGACCATTCTTCCATTTCATCTCTGCATAAAACAGGTCCTCCAAGTGGCACTAAGACACTAATTGCACTGCTCAAATCATAGCTGTGTCTATACAATGTATCCATAGCATGAAACTAAAGAAAACAAATAAAATAGAGAGAAAAGATCAGCCATAAATGCAAACTTTCTAGATTATTTAAGAACAATAACACTAAAGTGCATGATGCACTTAACAATAATATACTTAGATAGTATTTATTTTCTCACAAAATTAAGAAAAATTTGAACAGATTACTTAACAATTACTTAAAATATCATATACTGCTTTAAGAAAACATTGATTTGTGCCTTTTAAGTATTTTATTTTTTTATGCATCCATTTGTTATATTAACTTAACCATGAAGATCCAGGTCCTCCAGGTATAAATTGGAAATCGAGTAAGTTTCATCATCCTTTCTGTTAAAAATGCCAAAGACCCTTCTATATGCCAACTACTATACAAGGCTGGAATAGCCTTCCTGAACAAGGTAAAAAATAGATTATGTATCAGAGAGTGAGAAAAAAAAATTCTCAGGTTGGATTAAGAGAATGATGTACTGCAAAAGGAAAAATGGAAAGAAATAAATGGAATTGAGAATGAATGACAGTAAGCCAAAACAAAATTACACATTGTAAAACAAACAAAACAAAATTAGCTATCCATGTTAAGAGTTAAGTTTATTGACATTTTAAAGACCAAGAACAGATGACCAGGTGTGCTTGGAAAAGCTTGGTCGGTGGGAGTTTCCTATATATTTCAAGGGAGAGGTATTTGCAGAATAATTTTTTTCTTTATTGCTTTAGAGGGAGAGAAAGAAAGAGAGATAGAACACCGATGAGAGAGAACAATGACTGGCCGCTTCCTGCACACCCCTAACTGGGGATCTGGTCCACAACTTGGGCATGTGCCCTGACTAGGAATAGAACCAGCGACCTCTTGGTGCATGGGTAGATGCTCAACCACTGAGCTACACCGGCCGGGCTTGAAGAATAATTTGAAAGGAGAAAAGATAGGTTCCAATAATATAACAGGCTGTTTGCAAAAGTACCTTGGGTCTAGCATTTTCCTCCCATCAGAAGCAGAGAATAAACTAGGTTGCAAAACTCAAAACTTTGTTTTGAAAAACTTGATGGTTTTTCTACTGGAGAGGAAGAGATTCATCTATAATTTGTATGCATATTTGTATGTGTAGTAAAATTGCAAAATAGGATACTTAGCCCTATCTCTGGACTGTAGGTATGCTGCAGGTTTGGCTGACAAGGTGATCAAATCTTTGCCAAGTAAGAACTAGTTCTGCTTCAACTTTCGAACATGTGAAAGCCAAGTCTTGCACTGTTGTTTCCCCAAACAAAATATCTCCAGATATTTATTAAAAGTTTCACAAATGGAAAAAAAAAAAAAAAAGTTTCACAAATGGGGAGATGTCACATCTACGAGTGTTTCAAATTTATTTGATAAGTGATCCATAAATACCTGGTAGGGGCAGGATACAGTTCTCTCCCGGTACAAGAGCATAAAATAATCTCAAATATCAACTAACATCTGTTAAGTAAACTATTATTAGCAAAAGTATGCATTAAATATATGTATTTATACTGTGATACATTAAGACACTGAATAAGGGTGGTATAGAATATAAATTTGTTGACAGAGCTAAAGGCAGGATTTAGGATCTGTAGACAAGTTCAGGTGCAGTAACTAATTGCTTTAACAAGGGTTGGCATCTCACTTACAATAAATAATTAGACTCAAATAAACAAGCTAAACTTATACGTAAAGGAACTAGAAAAAGAAAAAGCCCAAAGTAAGTAGAAGAAAGGAAATAAGAAAGATCCAAATGAGACTCCCAAGCTTATTTCATGAAGCCAGCGTTACCCTTATTGCAAAACCAAAAGCGTTACAAAATAAGAGAATATCCCTGATGAACACAGATTCAAAAATCCTCAACAAAATATCAGCAAACCAAATCCAGCAATACATTACATAGATCATACACTATGATCAAATGAGATTTATTCCTGGGATGCAAGGTTTGTTCATTATCTGCAAATCAATTAACGTGATACAACCATATGGACAAAAATCGTGTGATCATACCAATAGATACAGAGAAAGCATTATGACAAAATTCAGCATCCATTAATGATAAAAACTTTAAGCAAAGTGGGATTACAGGGAACACGTCTAAACATAATAAAGGCCATATGTGACAAATGTACAGCTAACAACATACTCAACAGGAAAAAGCTAAAAGCATGTTCCTTAAGATCAGGAACAAGACAAGAATGTCTACTTTCACCACTCTTATTCAGCCCAGTCTCGGAAGACCTAGACATAGCAATAAGACAAGAAAGAGAAATAAAAGTCACTCAAAATGGAAAGGAAAAAGTAAACTGTCATTATTTGCAGATAACATAATACTATATAGAGAGATCCCTAAAAATTCCACCAGAAAACTATTAAAACCGATAAATGAATTCAGTAGATTAGCAGGATACAAAATAAATATCCAGAAATCAGTTGCATTTTCATACACCAATAATGAACAATCAGAGAAATTAAGAAAACAATCTCATTTACAATTGCATTAAAAATAATACCCAGAAATAAATTTAACCCAAGAGTTGAAAGACCTGTACTTGGAAAATTATAAGACACTGAAGAAACTGAAGGAGATAAAAATAAGTGGAAGCATATACCATGTTCATGGATAGAAAGAATTAACATTGTTAAAATATCCATACTACCCCAAGCAAATTATAGATTCAACACAAGTCCTATCAAAATACCAATGATGGCCCTGGCCGGTTTGGCTCAGCTGTTAGAGCGTTGGCCTGTGGTCCTGAGAGACCCGGTTTCGGTTCCCACTAAGGGCGCGTACCTCGGTTGCAGTTTGTCCCCGGCCCTGGTTGGTCGTGCGGGTGGCAGCCACTCGATGTGTTCCTTTCACATCAATATTTCTCTCTCTCTCTCTGTTCCCCTCTCTCCCTCCCATTCTACCTGAACAAAAAATGGGAAAATGATGTATTTCACAGAACTAGAACAAATAACCCCAAATTTTATATGAAACTACCACGAATAGCCACATCAATCTTGAGAAAGATGAACAAAGTTGGAGTAATCACACAGCCTGATATCAAACTATACGAAAAGGCTATAGTAATTCAAGTAGCATGGTTCTGGCATAAAAACAGACAGATTAATCAATGGAACAAAATAAAGAGCCCAGAAATGATTATTTAATCAACTAATATTTGATAAAGGAGACAAGAACATATGATGGGATAAAGCCAGTCTATTCAATAAATGGTGTTGCGACAGATACATGCAAAAAAAAATGGCCAGATATAGGCAAAAAAATAAAGCTAGACCACCTTCTGACACCATATACTAGAATAAACTCAAAATGAATTAAAGACTTAAATATAAGACTCAATATCATAAAAATCCCAGAAGAAAATACAGGCAGCAAAATCTCTGACATTTCTCTTAATAATATTTTTTTCTGATCTATGTCCTCAGGCAAAGGAAACACAAGAAAGATTAAACAAAAAAAATCAAACTAAAAACTTTTTGCACAGCAAAGAAAACCATCAACAAAATGAAAAGACAATCCACTGAATGAAAGAACGTAGTCACCAATAATACATCTGATAAGGCGTTAATATACAAAATTTATAAAGAATTCAGACAACTCAACACCCAAAACACAAATAATCCAATTTTAAAAGGGCAGAAGACCTCAATAGACATGTCTCCAAAAAGGACATACAGATGGCCAATAGACAAGATGCTCGATGTCACTAATCACCAGAGAAATGCACATTAAAACCAGAATGAGGTATCACCTCACACCTGTCAGAATGGCTATCATCAATAAATCAACACACAACAAGTGTTAGCTAGGAGGTAGAGAAAAGGGTACCGTACACTGTTTGTGGGATTGCAAATTGGTACAGCCATTTTGGAAAACAGTATGGAGGTTCCTAAAATAATTAAAAATAGAACAACATTATGACCCAGCAATTTCACTTCTGGGTATTTATCTGAAAAAATCCAAAACACCAATTCGAAAAGATATATGCATCCCATGCATAACCATTAGACACGGACAACAATACCATGAAGGAAGGGAGTGGAGTGCAGGGACAGGAGCAGGGAGGAGGGAGTCAGTGGGAGAAAAAGAAGAAACATCTCCAACAAAAAAATAATTAATTAAAATAAAACAAACAAACAAAAAGATATATGCATTCCTATGTTCATTACAGCATTGTTTACAATAGTCAAGATATGGAATCAACCTAAGTATCCATAAGTAGAAAAGAAGAGACGACTAGAAAAGAAGATGTGGTACATATATCAATGGAATATTACTCAGACATAAAAGAGAATGAAATCTTACCATTTATGACAACATGGATGGACCTAGAGCATATTATACTAAGTAAGCCAGACAAAGACAAATACCATATGATTTCACTTATATGTGAAATCTGAAAGACAAACAAACAAAATAGAAACAGACTCATAAATACAGAGAACTGACAGTTTGCCAAGTAGGAGGGGGGCTGGAGGGTGGCGTGAAAACGGTGAAGGGATTAAGAAGTACAAATTGGCAGTCACAAAATAGTCACATAGATGTAAAGTATAGCATAGGGGAATATAGTCAGTAATATTGTAATAACTATACATGGTGCCAGGGTACTAGACTTATAAGGGGATCACTTCACAAATTATATAAATGTCTAACCACTACACTATACACCTGAAATGAATATAATATTGAATGTCAGCTGTCATTGAAAAAAAATCAGAAAATAAATCATTAGATTCCACAAAATAAAAGCATGGAGGGATTTCAGTACCAATTTCCCAGTTATAATCACAGCTACGACCAATGACCATGTAGAGTCTTTTGCTGTATGTGTCACAATCATGGAATAGTAACTTCAGCTTTCAAGTAAACTTCTCCTCATTCTTCAGTAGCAGGGGTCAAAACAATGTTAGAATTAATCTTTATTCTTTGCTTGTGCTCTGCAAACTCCAGAGTCAAACTCCACTTCTCTAGCCAAACTTCTCACTCGACAGACTTG